AGTAAAGAGAAATTTTAAACACAAAGAAAAAGGAAATTTACATACATAACTTTCTCATCAGAAACTGCATAAGCCAAATAAATGCATTTAGGTATTGAAAGAGGAAAAAAAAAGAATTCTAGAAAGAATAAAAAATCTTTCCAAAGGAAGCAGGAAAAAGTTTTTCAGGCAAAGCTGAAGTCGTTGTTAGCTAAACATGTGCTACCAATAAATGACTGCAATAGAAGAAGTGTTTCAAATAAATGATCTAAGCTATGACCTTAAAATGACATCAGGAAAAGACAAAGTACCTTAACCCAAAGCAAGCTAAAGAAAGGAAATAATAAAAAAAATAATAAATAATAAAAGCAGAAAACAATGAAAGAGAAAAGTCAATCAAACCAAAGGCTGCTTCTTTGTAAAGCTCAATAAAAGTGAGAAGTGTCACCCTGGCTGGTGTGGCTCAGTGGACTGAGTGCCGTCTACTGAACTGAAAGGTCACCAGTTTGATTCCTGGCCCAGACACATGCCTGAGTTGCAGGCCAGATCCCCAGGTTAGAAAGCGTGAGAGGCAACTAGTAGATGTATCTCTCACAGATCAATGTCTCTTTCCCTCTCCTCCTCTCTCTAAAAATAAATTAAAATTTTTTGATCAGTCTAGGTCAGACTGATAAAGAAAAAAAGAGAGAAGGCCTACATCGGGAAAGCAAGGGGGACATCACTACAGATCCATCCCCCAGGCCTTAAAAGGATACTGTGAGACTATTATGAACCACCTTATGGCAATAACCTAGACAACTTAAGATAAAATGGACAGGGAGAGAGACATCAGCAACACAGAGGAATAGGAGATACGAATCTCATTCCCCCCACCAAAAAGAACAAAATAGTAAATAGTTATCAACAAACAAAAATAGTCCTGGGGGAAAAAAAATGACAAAAGAAAAATAGTCCTGGGAGAACAGAAGAGTCAAATTACGGCACCTATGGCAACACGGTGGAACAAATAATGAAGAATCACCACACAGAAAGAATCACTGCAGACAGCTTAGCTGAGCGAGACATCTGGAAAAGGCTAGGAACAAGGAAGAAGGGTGGAGGCTGTCAAAATAAGCCAGGAGGTGGGTACCAGGGAGGTCCACAGTGACCTGCTCTACAGAGGAGTCCAAGAGCTTTTGCCACTAGGACCTCATACAGCCCCTGCGACAGAATTCCTGCAGTTGTCACAGCATAGGCCTCTGCAGTGGGTACTGGCATGGACCACAGCAGCCTGCTCTGCAGAGAAACCGGCACCCGTGCCACTGGGAGATGCTGCTGAGTCACTCCCAGAAGACACTGCTGTGCCCCTACCCCTGAAACAGGGCTGCCAGCCCCCACCTCCAACTCCATGCATACCCCAGATCCCAGAGTCCTGCGTGCTCCACATGTACCTGCACTCTGACATCAGCTCCACAGTGCACACATCTCAGGTACCAGGACCCGGGAAAGGAGCCAGCACCCCAGACTGCTGTCACTCTATGAGCACACATCCCCACTCCTGGCTCTGTGGCAGACCCAAGTGTGCCCGTGCCTCACACCACCACCACCACCACAGGACACTCTAAAGTCAGACCCATTGCCAAGAGGGATCCCCTTGGCCATGGCATACCCCATGGAGAAAAAGGCAGCAGGAAGACCCCCTGCAGCCCTTGTCAATGCAGACTGTAACAGTTCTCACTGACACGGCACACCTGCAGCCATGGCCACGGAAGACCCCTGCAATTTTACCAACACTGACCTCAGCTGATGGAGCTAAATGCGAGTACGTTGCTTGGCCCTCCCCAACGAGCCAGTGCCCTCGCACCACCTGCTGGTGAAGGCCTGTCCCCACTAAAGCCCGTCTGTAAACATGGAAGAGGTCACTGCTCCATCAAACGCACAGACATCCACAGCAGGGTATGAGAAACATGAAAAATTAAGGGGATAAGATGCCACCAAAGGAACACAATAATTTTCCAGTAGCTGACCCCAAAGAAATGAGTATCTACTATTTGCCTGAAAATTTTTTTACTGTTTTGAGGAAGTTCAGTAAGTTATAAGAAAATACAGTTAGACAATACAATGAAATCAAGAAAACGATATACAAGCAGAATGAGCACAATAGAGAAATAGAAATAATAAAAAGGAACCTAACAGAAATCCTAAAGCTGAAGAATGCAAGAAATTAAATGAAAAATACAATACAGAACATCAACAACAGACTTGATTAAGCAGAAAAAATATACAAACTCAAAGACAGGTCATTAGAAATTACCCAGTTAGAGAAGGAAAAAAAAAAAAGAAGAATGGATCCAATTAGTAGAAAGAATGAAATAACAAAGATCAGAGCAGAAATAAATGAGATGAAAACTATAAAAATAGAAAAGATCAAGGTAACAAGGGGCTTTTTTTTAAAAAAAAAAAGATAAAACTGACAAAAACCTTTAGCTAGACTGAGAAAATAAGACTCAGATAAAAAGGCTCGTATATGAGAGACTCTTATGAACCAATACATGCCAACAAACTGGACAACCTAGGAAAAAGATCAATTCCTAGAAACACGACCTACCCAGACTGAATCACGAAGCAACAGAAAATCTGAATAGATTGTATATAACTTATAAGGAGACTGAATTAGGAATCCAAAACTGGTGATCAAAGAAAAGCTTAGGACTAGATGTCTTCGCTGGTGAATTCCACCAAACATTTAAGGAAGAACTGATGCCTATCCTTTCGTTATCTCTTATCTTTTTGGTAATAGCAGTCCTAACAGGTACGGGGTGATACCCACTGTGGTTTTGATTTGTATCCCTAATGATTAGGGATGTTGAGCACCCTTTCCTGCACCAGTCTTTCACCACTGAGCATGATATTAGTTGTGGGCTTGTCAAATATAGCCTTTAGGTTTATGTATTGCTTTTAAAAGTATTAGGGGGTAGGGTGAACAATTAGGTTTTTTTTAAGATTTTATTTATACTTAGAAAGAAGGGAAGGGACAGAGAGAAACATCAGTATATCAGAGAAACATTGACGGGTTGCCTCTTGCATGTCCCAACTAGGGACCTGGCTTGCAACCCAGGCATGTGCCCTGACTGGGAATTGAACCAGTGACCATTCAGTTCACAGGCCAGTACTCAACCCACTGAGCCACACCAGCCAGGGCAACACAATTTATTTTAAAACACCCAAGCTAAAAACAAAACAAAACAAAACAAAACATAAACCTTTTGGGCAGTTAAGCCTCCTGGTGTTATTTATACTTTTATGTTTTTGACACTGGTGGACAATTTCCGCCTCCGAACCACAACACATGTAATGTGACTGGCTCATCAACAAGAATTCTAACCACCTTCAGCAAAAACTAATATACACCACACTGCAAATTTACAAGGATTTGTTTAGAGTGTGAAGGTAACAAAAACCATCTAATAGCATTACTGTTGTTATGTTCACATAGTTATTTTCTTTCTCGTGTCAATGTCAGCCTCTGTGTCCAAGCAGACTGCACCACGGCTATTATTCAGTCACTCCCTAGTCCTGTGTTAGGTGCCCGGGAGTACTGTCTCCAAGTTTCATACCTCATATAAATCTTTCAATTTGCTGTTTTCTCCCTTTACCATCAGAGATCCAGCTGAAGTGCCAGATAACTCTGTGAAGCCATTTCTGATTTGATTGGCACAACCGATAATTCCTCTCCCAATACTCCATAACATCTGTTCATACTACTGACAGAAATAACTACATTTTGTTTTAGTTGCGTGTATGTGTTTCCATCTCTTGATCTTGATTATGAACTCACTCCCTGAAGTAATGTTACTTTTCTGTTGCAAGCCTGGTGCCTACGTGGCAATGGGGCATGTTGCAGATGCTCAGCAGACATTTGTTGAATTTGAATGAGTCCAGAAAGATTACTAGAATATAAAATAGGCATGTCGCACTCAATGCAGGGAAAGCAGTTTCACTCTAAAAGGGTTTCTCTTCTTCCATCCCTTTGTCATCAGACCTGCAGATTTGTATTATATTAATAACTGCACTGGTGTGTTATTCTGACCATCTGAAGCTAAATGCCACCAATGAATTTTAAATTCTCACCTGCACATCCTATAAACTGAAATCATGACATATAACAATCTGGGTATGAGTGACATTTTGCCAGAAGAAGAAAATGTCAGTGACACTAACAGCTTAAATTATCATGTTTGGAATTTAATGTACCCATATTGATAAATAATAATTTTGCTTCAGAAAGAATTCAAACAGAAATTCAACAACATAAAAGGCAGGATATTAGCTCACATCAAATACTTCACCATCTATAAAGATTCTATTATCATAATGTTTGAAAAGGATGACTGTTATAGATATCTATTAATGGACTTTCAAATGGAAATTTCTCCATTTCAAAGAGACTGTAGGCTTAATGAAAGAGCAATTCCACAAACACAAAGACAAAAGGAAGTACATAAAAGCATTAAAGATTATCTAGTATTTAAAAGGCAAGTAAGAAACTGCATATCATTAAGAGGAGTCAAAGATTGAAAGCCTATAAATCAGATTCTCCTACTCCGCTTTACAGGCTGTTTTCACATCAAAGGTCCACATCAAATTTAGACTCAACAAGGAGACAACCAGAAAAACATGGAAGGTCTAAAGGAGGGCCACAAGCCTAAGAAGCAGGACTCAGATATATTTAGCACAAGTGGTTAGACAATCTGTTCATACATTTTAACCTTAGAACTCAGAGAGGTGAAGAGGATGAATGCATACTGCCAAGGTTTACAGCAAGAACTAGGGCCTCCTGGCCCTGGGTCTTACTCACAATTACTTCCCAGAATAAATGTCAGCTTCTCCCTTTGTAAATACTAGCCTTCAATCTATGTTAACCAAATAAAAATTACTCATTACAGAATCGCTAAATAAATACTTTGAGGTTCACCAGATTTCAAAAACAAATAAAATATTCCCACCTTAACATTTTATATTATTCAAAATTTTCTACTTACAAAGTCTTGGCGTATATCGTTGAAGTCTTTGCCATATTTTTCCAGGGCCTCTTCAAATAAACTAGCTTCAGAGGCTGACCATTCTTCCATTTCATCTCTGCATAAAACAGGTCCTCCAAGTGGCACTAAGACACTAATTGCACTGCTCAAATCATAGCTGTGTCTATACAATGTATCCATAGCATGAAACTAAAGAAAACAAAATGGAGAGACAAGATCAGCCATAAATGCAAACCTGATTATTATAGAACAGAAATACTAAAGTGCATGATGCACTTCATTAACAATAATATACTTAGATGGTACTTGTTTTTTTTTTTTCCGCACAAAATTAAGGAAAAATTGAACAGATTACTTAGCAATTACTTAACATATTATCTGCTGCTTTAAGGAAATGCTGATTAGTGTCTTTTAAGGTGTGCATCTTTTTAAATGCATCCATTTGTTCTAGCAACCTAACCAGGAAGATCCAGGATCTCCAGGTATTAATTTGGGAACCCAGTAAGTTTCATCACCCTTTCCATTAAAAATGCCAAAGTCACTTCAGCTATTATACGAGGATGGCACAGCCTTACTGAACAGGGAAAAACAGATTATGTATCGCACAATGAGAAAGATATTCTCAGGTTGGACTGAAAGAATGATGTACTATGAAAGGAAAAATGGAAAGAAATCAATGGAACTGAGAATGAATGAGAGTTAAGACAAAAAATTACCAGTCCATGTAAAACAAACAAAATTAACCTAGCTGTGCTAAGAGTTAACTTGGTTGGCCCTGGCTGGAGTGGCTCAGTGGACTGACCACCAGTCTATGAACCAAAGGGTTGCCAATTTGATTCCCAGTCTGGGCACATGCCTACTTTGTGGACTAAGTCCCCAGTAGGGGGTGTGCGAGAGGCAACCATACACTGATGTTTTTCTCCCTCTCTTTCTCCTGCCCTTCCCCCCCTCTCAAAATAAGTAATTTTTTTTTTTTTTAGTTTTAAGTTGGTTGATATTTTTAAGCAAGAATGGATGACCAGGCATGCTTGGGACAGCTTGGTTGGTGGCAGTTTCCTATATATTTGAAGAGAGAGTGATTTGAAGGATAATTTGAAAGAAGAAAGATAGATTATAATAATATAATTGACTTTTTGCAAAAGTACCTTCGGTCTAGCATTTTCTACCCATCAAATGCAGAAAATAAACTAGGTTCCAAAAATTCGTAATTTAAAGTTTTGAAAAACTTGATAATTTTCTACTGGAGAGAAAGCGATTCATCCATAACCTGTACACACATTGTATGTGTAGCAGGAAAATGGCAAAACAGGATGATTCGCTCTGTCTCAAGCACGTATGTGTGGTGCAGATTTGGCCAACAAGGTGATCACATCTTTGCCAAGAGCTCATTTTGTTTAAACTTTCTAACATATGAAAGCCAAGTCATGCAATTTTTTTAAACACAGTGTATCTTCTGATATTTATTTCAAATTTCACAAATGGAGAGGTGTCACATCTACAAGACAAGAAGGGTCTTAAGATTTGGTGTGTAAGTAACCCCTAAGTATCTGATGGGGATGGCAGACAGTTCTCCCCTGGTGCAAGAGCATAAACTAAGCTCCAGTATCAACTAACATCTCTTAAAGGGGGGGAAATTAGCAAAAGTATGGATTAAAATATATGTATTTATGCTGTGATACATTAGAACATAAATTTGCTGACAGACCTAAAGGCAGGACTCAGGACACGTACACTTGTTTAGGCACAGTGGCTGAGTGCTTTAACAAGGGCTGACATTTCACCTAAAATAAATCACTGGACTCAAATAAACAATCTAAACTTATACCTAAAGGAACTAGGGAAAAGCAAAACAAAACAAACAAAGCCCAAAGTGTGTAGGAGGAATGAAATTATAAACATCAGAGCAAAAATAAACAAAATAGTCTAACAAAGTAATATAAAAGATCAATGAAACCTAGACTTGGTTTGTTGAAAAGATAAACGAAATAGATAAACCTTTAGCCAGACTCATCAAGAAAAAGAGAGGACCCAAATAAAATCAGAAATGAAAGAGGAAAAGTGACAACTGACATCACAGAAATACAAGGGATTATAAGAAAACACTGTGAATAATTTTGTCAATAATTAGACAATCTGGAAGATTTGGATAAATTCATAGAAAAACACAATCTTTCAAGACTAAGTCAACAAGAAAAACATCTGAAGAGACCAATAACCACTAATGAACCAACCATCAAAACATTCCTTACAAACAAAAGTTTTGGATCTAATGGCCTCACAGGTAAATGTTACCAAACATCAAAAAAGAATCAACACTTATCTTTCTTAAACTATTCCAAAAAATTTAAAGAAGGAAAGGCTCCCCAGCTCATTTTACAAGGCCACCATAACCATTATTCTAAAACCAGATAAAAGCATTACAAAGTAAGAAAATTATTTAAGTCACTATCCCTGATGAACACAGATGCAAAAATCCTCAACAAAATATTAGCAAACCAAATTCAGCAACACATTATAATGACTATACACCTTGATGAAGTGGGATTTATTCTTGGGATACAAGGTTTGTTCATTACCTGCAAATCAATTAACATTTTACACTGCATAAACAAAATTAAGGACAAAAATCATGATCATATCAACAGATACAGAGAAAGCATATGACAAAATCCAGCATCAAGTTATGATAAAAATCCTAAGCAAAGTGGGATTAGAGGGAACATATCTCAACATAATAAAGGACATATGTGGCAAATGCAAGCTTTTTCCTTAAGATCAGGAACAAGACAAGAATGTCTACTTTCATCACTTTTATTCAACACAGTATTGGAACAGAAATCGAACAAGAAAAAGAAGTCACGGAAATTAGAAAGAAGTAAACTGTCATTGTTTACAGATGACATAATACTCTACACATAGAGATTCCACCAAAAAACCATTAAAATCAGTAAATGAACTCAGTAAAAGTAGCAAGATACAAAATTAATATTCAGAAACTGGTTGCATTTTACACCAATAATTAATTATCAGAATGAAAAAATTAAGAAAACAATCCTATTTATAATTGCATCAAAAAGTTTGAGCAAGGAGGTAAAAATTCTGTACTCAGAAAACTCTAAAACAATGAAGAAAGAAACTGAAGAAGATACAAATAAGTGGAAGCACATACTGTGCTTATGGACAGGAATAATTAACTGTTAAATGTCCATACTACCAAAAGCAATCTACAGATTCAACACAATTCCTATCAAAATACCAATGATGTATTTCACAAAACTAGAGCAAATAATCCAAATATTTACATGGAACCAGAGAAGACCCCAGATAGCCACAGCAATGTTGAGAACAAAGAACTAAGTTGAAGGAATCACACTACTTGACATCAAACTATCCTATAATGCCATAGTAATCAAAACAGCATGGTACTAGCATAAAAACAGGCATGTAGATCAATGAAACAGAACAGGAGCCCAGAAATAAACCCACACCTGTGTGTTCAATTAATATTTAACAAAGGAGGCAAGAACATACAATGGAGTAAAGAGTCTATTCAGTAAATTGTATTGGGAAAGCGGAACAGATACATGCAAAGAGAAGAAGAAACTAGACCAGCTTCTTATACCATATACAAGAATAAACTCAAAATGAATTAAAGACTTAAATGTAAGACATTATACCATAAAAATCCTAGAACAAAACAGAGGGAATAAAATCTGGGACACTTCTCTGAGTAATATTTTCTCTGATTCATCTCTTTAGGCAAGGGAAACAAAAGAAAAAATAAGCAAATGGGACTACACCAAACTAAAAAGATTTTGCACAGGAAAAAAAAACTATCAACAAAATGAACAGACAACCCATTGAATAGGAAAACATATTGGCCAATGACACATCTGATAAGGGGTTAATATCCAAAATTTATAAAGAACTCAGACAGCTCAACACCCAAAAAATAAACAATCCAATTGAAAACTGGCCAGAGGACCTCAAAAGACATTTCTCCAAAGAGGACATACAGATGGCTAATAGACATATGAAAAGATGCTTGATATCACCAATCATCAGAAAGATGCAAAGTAAAACCAGAATGAGGCATCGCCTCACACCTGTCAGAATGGCTATCATCAATAATCAACAAACAACAAGAACTGACAAGGATGTAGAGGAAAGGGGATCCACATGCACTGTTGGTGAGATTGAGAATCAGTATAGACATTTCAGGAAACAGTATGGAGGCTGTTAAAAAAAAAAATCAAACACCCTTATGACTCAACAATTACACTTCTGGGTATATATCCAAAGAAATCCAAAATAGCAATTCAAAAAGATATAGCCACTCCAAATTCACTGCAGCATTATTTACAGTAGCCAAGACATGGAAGCCTCCTAAGTGTCCATCAATAGACAACTGGCAAATAAGATGTGGTACATATATTCAATGGAATATTACGTAGCTAAAAAGGAAGAATGGAATCTTACCATTTACAACAGCATGGATGGATGGACCTACAGGATATTATGATAAGTGAAATAAATCAGACAAAGAAAAATAACATAACTGGTATTGATTTAACTTACACATGAAAGCTAAAAAACAAAGTAAGTGAATAAAACAGAAACAGACCCATAGACACAGAGAATAACTGATGATTGACAGGTGAGAGGGAGTTTGGAGGGCTGGGTGAAAAGGATTAAGAATACAAGTTGGCAGGCACAAAACACTCATGTGAAAGTAGTGGATAGAGATATAGTCAATAATACTGTAATAACTGTGTATGGTGCCACGTGGGTACTAGACTTATTGGGGGGATCGCTTGGTAAGTCATATAAATGTCTGATCACTATGCTGTACACCTAAAACTAATATAACATTGAATGTCAACTGTCACTGAAAAATATAAGAACCACTGGATTCCAGAAAATAAAAGCAAGCAGGGACCTCATTATCAATTTCCTAGTTATAATCACAGCTAAGACCAAGGACCACGCACAGTCCTTTGCATATGTGTCACAATCATGGAATAAAACTTTAACTCAAGGGAATTGCTTCTCACTCTTCTGCAGCAGAGGTACAAAAACGTTTGGTTCGATCTTCACTCTTTGCTTATGCTCTGCAAACTCCAGAATCAAGTTCCCATTCTTCAGCCACTTGACAGACCTGGCAGTTTAGCTGAAGTGTACACCTTTAA